AAGTGTCTTGAATAAAATGTTTTCGCTGAACAAATTGTTCCTTACAGTGCACTGTCCCACCTTTTCCACGAAGCCTTCAATTTCCCGAATAATGACATGGAACTTTCCAACAAAAATACAAGAAAAACAGCAAAATCTGTGAAARATCAACCAAGTTTCATGGCAGCGACGAAACGACGACGACGAGCGACTTATTATCGGTCAATCATCGGAAAAACCTCGAGCGTTGCGACTGTTTCCGATAGGTCTCGAAGTCTTTACGAAAAAAAACGATAGGGAGGGATAGACACGCATGCTGGTGCACACATCGATCCATCACGTGACCAGTGTTTCATACCTTGTCACAGACTTCGTTTGTATCCCGCGAGGCACGGGACGTGACGTAATACCACAGGTAATCCGCATTTCACTAAGAGCGCGCGCCGATAGCGATACTAGCGTAAAAGCGTGCGCATTCATTCTTTTCTTTCTCTCTATATCAAAATTTTAGCACGTTTTACTAAATACTTTTGCGAAGCGAGCGAGTTAAAAAAGTTCAAAATTTGCATTTCATTAGTTGTGATCCACCTTTTAAAATAGGAACGAGAAATCCTTCACTTTGTAAAAAAACCTCGATAAACAGCCGAAAAGTGATGCGACTTTTTTTTCCATCTTTTTGTCCACTTTTTCCGGGAACCTTTTTGAGAACGGTGTATTTGATGATTCTAAGAAAACTATGTTTCTCTTTTAAAAGAAACAATTATTAGGTCAGGATTGATGATAAGACTATGCAATGCTAAACGTATAAAGGACAGCACAACTAACATGACGGCCATCTGGGAAAAAGAACAATCCACGTAAATTAATCGATATAACATTAAGTCCCGCTAAAATTGACTTCATAGATCTGTATAATATAGTTTGAACAGCTGTTGAAAGTTGGAGTTTTATTGCGATGACCTATGCTTTGATGAGAGCGCCCAGCTAGACTAATTCACATTGATGACTTAACGGCAAGCGTTTCAATACTGCGGCTATAGCTGTRTGGTTGCAATCACTCAAGAACTACCTTAAATAAACTTACCAGATGACGTAGTTGAGTACTTTGTCAACACCAACAGAACCACAATCGTTGACTTAAAAAACATTTCGTGAACGTTTCTTGTCAAGGTTTCTTTGGCTATGTTGTAAAAGAGAGAGCATATCTCTGGATGCGCTTGGCTGTCTGAAAACAAGGGGCCATTTCATTGCGCATGCACGATACGCTTGAGCTACCTTGGTCACAGCACTGTTTCGCAGCTCGTTCTCGGTCGAGATGTTTACGAGCGTATGTCTGTTACCATCGAGAATCTCAAATCAGTTTCAAAAAATATTTGAATTTTTGGTTTTTTTATTTTTGGTCTTTAGTATATGACAATTTGTTTCATAGTTTTATGAAAAGCACTTTGTGTGGGGGTCAACTATCACTGGTGACTTTAAAAAATAATAACAAAGGAAAATATATATTAGACTAGCTATATAAAGTGTAGTACAAGTCTACTGTGAAAAAAAAGAAAAAGCTTCAGTATTTTGTTTTAGCAACTTTCTTTAAAACTGGAAAGAGAGATATT